TTATTGGGAGCACAAGAATCAAAGGACACAAGGACATCCTAGGTGGAAAGCTCTCTTTATTCTGTAGTGAGCAAATGGAGTGATTATGGATGATTAGGATTAAATCAAAGCTTGAGATAGCTTCAAATGATGATTAAGCATATTCTAGAAGAGCTTTAAGAAGCTAGATTTGATTTGGGATAGATGGCAAAGTGATTTGAGCTTGTTTAACCATGCTTAATGCCACTTAGACGTACTCATTATTGATTGTTTGATTGGTCAAACAATCAACTAAGGTCTAGGTGGACTTGGGAAGGGTCTTGAATGCTGATAGGAATGGGATTGATGCTTGAAAATTGGAATTTTGAAAATGATAAAGAGGCTTAGGGTAGCTTGACCAAGATTTGACAAGTTGACTTGGTCAAAATGACCATGACTTAGCTCATGGTGGATTTGGCAATGTTCAAGGCATCAATAGGGATGAATTGAAATCTTGATAGGGATTTGATTAGATGTATATGGTGGTTTGATCTAAACACAAAAGTTTGACCAAAATTCAAAAGGATGACTTGGTCAACCTATGGTGATATGACTCATGGCAGGTCTGGACATGTTTGAGCCATACATGGGAAATGGGTTGGGAGTTTGAAATATTTGAATTGAATTATTGAAGAAATTTGGCTCAAGTGGGTCCCAATTGATTGAATTTGGGTTGAGTTGACCAAGTCAATTATTGACTGGGTCAATGGATACAATCAAATCCAAATCATTGGGGGATGCGACCAGAGGAGTTTGAGTGGGTTTGATGTTGATTTGGGATTTATGTGTTGTATTGCATATATTTTGTTAATATATATATATAGAGTATGAATGAAAAGAAAAGAACTATGGATGAGTTACTTTTCTATAAATTGGGAGCTAAATACTAGCTCTCTAGTTTATTTTAAATTAAAAAATTGAAAAATTCTCTAAAACTTAGATCTTAGGCTTGATTTGTATCCATTCAACATGATATAACATGTTCTGTCTATAGTTAATACTGGGTTGGGTTGTAACAGTCCCTTTTTGTTATCAGAGCTATAATTTTGGGTGATTGATTGTAAATAAAGCTATAGGAATTGATTTTTAACCATGTGAGTTATTTAGGATAGTATTGGACATTCATTTATGTTTGTTTGCATATGCATGTTATATTCAGATGTGTGTTGTGTGTGGTTGTCTCACGGATCCGCAAGATCCTGATATGACTGATGGGTGAAGTGTCAGCCAAATAATGCTAATACGGAGTACCACATTTACTGCCAATTATGATATCAATTGTCAGTTTTCCAATCTAATATAACACAGCTAATGGGTGAAGCCCGGAGCATGATCTCTTTTGTTTGATTTAATGATGTAAACAAACACTTGGAGAAGTTTATGAGGCTGAAGTCTCCAAGGTTCGAGGCAAAATTGAGCCATGGGCAGTAGAAGATTGGCTGAGAAGGATAGAGAAGACCTTCGATGGGATGTAGTGTCCTCTTGAGAGGAAAATACATTTAGCTATGAAAGGCTAAGCTCTGGTGGTTGGGCCAGTAGAGAAAAGTTTCAGGGAATGCTAAATTTCCTGATCAGTTGGAAGGAGTTTACAAATGTCTATAGATGGTGGTTCATAACCCTAATGTGCGACAATATTTATAGAAGATGTTTCTGAGGCTAATTAAGGGGAGCATGACAATTATGTAGTATGCGACAAAGTTCACTACCTTGTGCATATATGCTCCATAGCTGGTTAACACTTCTCAAGAGAAGTGTTATAGGTTTCTAGGAGGACTCATAGACAGTCTGATACAGCCATTAGTTCCATTCTGCATTACTGACTTCTCTATTTTGGTAGAGAGGCTCATTTGATTGAGAATGATTTAATAGATACTCAATAGAGTGGTTGTTAGTAGGTTGAGGTTCATTGGCGAGGTTTTTGTTAGTGGCTTTCTAAGAAGACGAGTAGTTCAGGCCTAGAGACTCTATGAAAGACAAACCATATGTTTTAACTCTTGGTGGAAGCAATATTGCCAGTTCTGGAGGCTCTGTTAGTGGGACACATGTTTTTTAGAGCAATGATAGTAGACACTTGGGTCAGTGCTATAGGATGAAAATTCAATGCTTCTGATATCGTCAGACCAGACACAAGGCAGATGAGTGTCCACAGGTAGAACATGCCCAACATTTGGAGCCCAGGTCTATGAATTTTGCTAAACTGATAAGGAGACTAAGGTAGTCTAACCTAGCATATTTGCTGAGGTATCTTCTAGTAGTGGTAGTGGTTATGGTTCAACGGCAGGGAGGCCATCCTGGAGTAGCTAGAGAGAGCCTAATAGTTATGTTGCTTCAGCTCCACTGCAAGCACATGTATCTAGTTTGACTCAACATGATGCCCGAGACACTTTAGATGTGGTTACTTATATTTTTGATATCATGTGTCATATTTTATTCAATTATGGAGTCAATCATTTATTTATTTCTAAGATGTGTTTTAATTTGATATAATTGTCTTCCGTATTATTGCCTTCTTCATTGTTTGTTATTTTACTGGCTATAGATATGATATGGTAGCCAGTAGAGTATGCTTCTGTGACATAAAAAGTTTTAGCAGGAAATGGAGATCTAATATAATATTATTGCCTATCTCTGAGTTTGATGTTATTGTAAGAATGTTTTAGTTGAGTCAGTATAGATCTCAGATTGATTGTGTAAAGAAGATAGTCACTTTATTTCTAGATAGTAAGAGTTGTTTAGTCAATGAAATTAGGAGAGTTAAATCCAAATACCCCTCTCACAAATCCACTCTAGGAGAGGTTCTAAAATCCTGCTCTAAACCTCCTTGGATCATAATCGTGATCCTCTCCTCCATCTCCATCAGCCGCCTGTTGGTTACAAACTCTTGATCTATATGCTCACATATCCTTCTTTATTTTTCTACGTTGCTTCTCATGGTGCTTGATTTTTTATTCTTAGCATCAATCTAAGCTCACTGCACCTAAGAAGATGTTGAATCTAAATTTCTATGGGCGACACTCAAACCCTCGCAATACTTGCAACGTTTTTATGAAGATAATGGTAGATAGAGAAAATGAGAGAAAAATAGAACAAATGAGTTATAAAGAGAGAATATTCATGGATTCTATTACCAACATAAAAAAGCTTAGGAAAATTATTATGGAGGATATCATGTTCTAAAAATGATCTTTGACCTTGTATTTATAGGATCTTGGGCACAATAAGAGAGGCTATACCAAATCTCATAAGAAATAAATAAATAAATTCATGACATGATAATTATAGACAGATGGACATGATGGTCTGAGCCCTAATAAACACATGCCAACTACCTTCTATACAAGTGGTTGGGGAGTCTTCGACTAGCTAAATAATGTTGCTAAGCTTTCATTGACGAATTTGTTGACTTTTGTTTTCTATAAGCAAGTTCCTCTCGTTGGCTAGGTGGCAGGGCCCTCAAGCTTGGACAAGTTCGAGTTAGTTCCTGTCAATTGCCCTGTAGATTGGGGTGAATGATTCGTAGCTATAAGGCAAGTAGCCCTCTCAAGCCAGACGAGTGACTTCATAAGTTGGGTGCATCTTGATCCTTGACAAGTCTGTTGAAACTCCTTGGCTTGCCTTGATCTACATATTGAGGCAAGCCTTTCTAAAAAATAGTGAAAGCATGATAAAACATTACTCAAATAAAATTATAATTGTTATCTAAACACCAAATAAAACAATAAAAATACAATACCAAATAAACTCTTGATCTTATGCTCTTGTCAACTATGTTGCCGCTAGAAATAACTTTCCAATACAATTTTTTCTTAGCTTAAAATACAGCAAGTTACCTACTGATTGTGAGTTTTATTGGAGATTTCGCTTGATCTTATTATCCACAGTAACTAAGTTATGATTGCGACTGAATTATCATTTCATGATCTTTTTGTTGATTTTTTTAATAAGGCCAAGATAAGTACATTAAAACTTAAAGAATCATTAAAACAATGATTATTAGAACCTCAGTATGTTTCTCCGGTTCTAAGAACATATTATTTTTCTCCTTGTAATAAGAGTTTATGCATTTAAACGACTAAAATCTGACTTACTAACCCGTTCCAACATGTAATCAGGAACTAATCAGGGTCATGAGTAACCCAATCCAAAAGTTATTTGAATCAAAGTCTGGGTCATGGTCATATCCAATCACTAAGAAGATTCTGATTTGATTGAGATATTACTTGCCTTGTATTATTTACATATTTATGATCTAACTGCAGCAAATTTATAAACTTCTCCAAGTTCAGTACTACATTTCCCAACATCACGTACAAGTTCTTTAAAACTTTGGGAAAATGATAGCAAGTAATTAGCAGTGAGGTACTTACTGGATACATTTTCGTCATTGATTTATTATCAGTCATATTAGTATCCATATTTAATTTCCATGATAGCAGATATATTTACATATAACATTTCGAAATAGTAACACTTATTATTAAAAGAATGTCTTATCGTCCATATAAGTTTTGCTGAATTGTGCTTATTATTACACAAATAAGTGTCTAATTGTCTTCTCGGTGGGCATCTTTCCACCCCAAAGTTATATGTTTAAATATTCTATAACCCCTCGCTATATCTTGCACCCCCGCGTCTCATTAAAAATTCAAGCACAAACACTACAAAAAAGATACTAGAAGCAAACTACCATGAAAACAAAAATTTGAGCCGCGAAAGATCTCAAAATCATAAAATTTCGAATTTCGATTAATTACTCATATATTACACGACATTCAAAATAAATTTAATAAAACTTTTATACATCATGATCGAACTTTGACCATGATATCTTACCCAAAATTATTCCAACCGCACTCTACAGCAAAGAACCCTGATGCCCCTGAATCTCACCACAATCCGCCATTCAAAGCCTAGGCTAAACCCACATCAGAGATAAATGCAACATAACTGAAAACGACCATAGAAATGCTTTGCTTCTGTGCTAGGATCAATCTCTTACTCTTAAATAAGTCATAATCTGCGAAATTTTCACCAATTTCATGCACTTTGAACATTAATCAATATTTGTGTATGTCATTGCCTTCGCAATTGGTCACCAACTTTTTAAAATGATAAAACATCACTGTGCCTTATATTTTTCAAGCAAACACAAATAGTGAAGTTCTGGCTTCAAACCTCACCTCCAGAAAAACCGTACCAAAAAACATTGATTGATGAAATTATGAGCTAAAGCATATGGCCATGATATATGGAGTAAGCTCTACAGTTCATATAGGTTGTCAAAAGTTAGGGGCCTCTAATATCATGACCTAGAAGGATTTTGTTGTTTAAGCCTTTGCATTTCGGTGGTTGCTTTCAAATACTTTAGCGCCTCTTCAGCAGCCTGCTAACATTAGTCATTAGTTCAGTGCAAAGCTCAAATAAAAAAAGGCAACGACTAGAAGAAATCCAATAACTGACATCCATCCATTAACCAGAGATTAAACAGTGCTGAAACCAATAATGGTTTGTGTTTGACGGCAAAAAAATTAAAAAATAATAATAAATAAAAACAGAGGTCAAGCCCTTTAAAAATAATTCTTTCTTATTCTACTTTACAATTTGGCAGCTTAAATTGAGAAAATGACTAATAAAATAACATTTGCTTTAAAATGATGATCTTTTCATTTCACATGAAAAATATCAGATATCTGATCATAGAACACATCGAAATAACTGGGATAAATCGAAGAGTATTATAGTCAATAAAATTGTAAAGCTATCATTATGTTTTCCATAAAATGTCACACTGACTGCCAAATCCTGCATCAAAAGATAATCTGATTAGTTTAATGAGTATATTACGTCTAATTTAGTTAGATTTTTCATTTGATATAATCTACTATCATATATTTGATCAAATTGTTATGAAAATTAAAAATATAATGATTGTTTTGTTATTTTATCTATTGTAATGGCAAAACTATAGAACCGAATTAAAAAAGTTTACCCTTCTAAATATACAAGCAGCTAAAAGAGTCTCAAACTTGCCCAAAACTAACTCCTTTCAATTGTGTAGACAGTTAGATAGTCAAAAAATAGTGGCAGTTTAGTAGTATCTAGCTCCATAGTTGGATTATTTCATTTTAATTAAAAAGAAGAAGAAGAAGAAGAAGCTCCATGCAGTCAGCATCACCCTAAAGATTTTCAGGACTGCTAGCAGGTAAATTCAATGTGGCTATACGGGGCAAAATCTCTGAAAGAAATGCAGTCTTTTATTGGAGAGAGGCTCCTTCGCTTACTCCCAATTAAGTATAAGCTATGCCCAATACATGCAGAGGAGAACAGAGAAATTGGAATCATTGTTTCAAATTGTGTAATATGAGGCTCACCTTGAGGCCAATCTTAGCACAATTTCGGTGAAAAGCACCTCGAAACTTACGCCTCAAGCTTTTTTTATGAGACGCACACCTCAGTTTGGTTGAGGTACATCTCGCCAAATTGGTGTGAAGCGTACGCCTCAACCTATTTATATATATTTTTATTAAAACTTACCTAAATCCTAGACTAAAGCTCCGAACAAATCACGCCTCCATGCACCCCCCTAGCTGTAGCAGCTTCCTCTCAACTGCCTCTACCTCCAGCCTTCCGCCTCTGTTGTAACCACCACCATCTTAGCCACCGTAAGGGATCACTTGGAGGCCAATCACTACAACCACTTCCTCTAAAAATTTTAGAGTATTAATCTCATCTTTATATTGATGAAAAACATTCATGAAAGAGGAAGATAACTGAAATAAATGAAAAAGAAGTAGATTGTAAGTCATTGGACTACACAGGATCAGGCATGGGAGAAACAAATTTGTTATAACAGTGACTCAAATAAAGACGACCTCAATAATAATGACAGTACAAATGATTTCTAAGTTGTTAAATATTTCAGCTTTCTTTAGAAACTAAATGTAAATGAGTAGGATTTTGGGAAAGAAGGAATTTGGAATTGAACTTGATGCTATATGAGATACTTTTATGCAATTCTTATATTTTATGTTATTTTGTTCTTGTAATATTTGGATTTCAATTTTATTTTATGCATTTTATTACTTTAATTTACATATTGTGCAATTTTTTATTTCATATGTATGTTAATTTGTTACTTCATAGTTCAATAGAAAGTTAATATCATCTTCTAAAAATTACTTTTAACCTTTATTTTCACTTACGCAACTTTTGGATGTTTAGGCTTGTACCTCAAAACGCTTTGAGGCTTATGCCTCGCCTCAAGAACAAAAAATGCCTCAATACTCAATTGCGTAAGTTTAAAACTTGGTTGGAATGGTGATTTTAATCCCTGTTACGGAAAGCTTAATTAAAATGATATATTATATGTTTGCACAATAATAATAATATAAAGAAAATGGATGAATATTAAGATACTTAAGAAAATTGAACGAACGTTGCCTCCTACCCCACAAGAAAAGAAACGAAGCAAAGAAAATGATGAACAGGTAAAAAGAGTTGTGTTTTTCTATGCCTTTATATACCGGCTCCCTCCATCTTATAGTGAATACGTTTTACTATGCTATTCCCTTAACCAGCCAAAAGTGACATGTGGCAGTAGCTAACAATCAGAAAATAATTTTTTATTATTTTTCTCTTTGCTCACCCATATTAGAACCCATATCATCCTTTCTTCACTTGAAAGTCTTTAAGCCATCTAGGGGAATGACGCACATGCTTGGGTTCAATCAGTGCCATTGCTGCCAGCAAGTTGCACGATGTTGTTCACAGCTGGATGTTCATGATTTGTACTCTATCAAAATAGGGCCAAATGGATTGACAAGTTAGGGTGTCAACAAAACAAATATCTGTGCCACAAAACCTTTTCATTCATCATCATTAACCTTTTCATTCCAAAAGGAAATTCTGTTGAACTCATTTCAACACTTATTTACCTTCGAACTTGAGTATTAAATTTGGTGCCGGAGTTCCTTCCCAACGGGTGATATCCTTGAGTGGACGCGGGCAATTTTGTTTACTGTGCATGTTTCTTGTTTGTAAAGCAACCGCAGGACAAAGGTGGGACTACTGTCGAGAATTTCAATAGAGCCAAGACAGAATCTGACATGCAACATAGCTGAAAGACTATAAATCTATAAAATAAACGTCATTATTTATTATTCTATTTGAACTACAGTCAAAAGTTGCCATTTGGGTTAAAAAATACATCACAAATTTTTTAAAAAGGATGAACTTAACATTTTCATTAGGTGGTAAATTTATTGCAGCTTATAAAGATGATATATCAGTATTTGTTTTTGTTGAGAAGGAAATTTTGTTGCTAATTGGCTCTTCAATCTAGGAGATTTACTTTCTGATGCTCTGGTGATTAACCCTTCAAGTATTCCCCTTTTTCAAGAGGCTTAATCAGATGGGACTGCTAGTGTTTCCCAAATTTTAGATTTATTTGATGTTTTTTGTATTTCATTATCCGTGTATTTATCAGGTCCACTTTTTTTTTTTTGACAGATCCTATTTATCCATTTGATGTACTCTTTTATTCTCATTTAATTTAAGTTCTTTTTCTACATAAAAGAAATATTTGTATTTTATTCTCATTATGGAATAAAAAAACTTGAATTTTGGGGGTCATTCTTAGGGTCTAAAAATTTCCGTTTGAGTATATCTAAAATTGAATATATGGAGTGCAATTTTAACAGTAATATATTTAGTGGGGGGATTATGACTTTGGGCAATCAAGTCATTAAAAGGAGTACACGCTTTAGATATCTTAGGTCTAATGTTCAAAGTGATGGTGAAATGGATAGATATATTATTAGTAGAATTCAACTTGTATGGGAAGTAAAGGAATGCATAAGGACTATTGTGTGATAGAACAATACCTGATAGGAAATACTTTTTAAAAAATAGAAAAAATTCCTTGCTGAAATCAGAATTCAGCAACTTACAAATCAGCTTTTGAGAAGAAAGTAGAGGAATAACTATAGGTACACTCTTAAGTTGATAGTAGATGAAAGAAAGAAAATAAGATACAACTGGTTTTCAATTCGAGAGGAAGATCTGGCTCTCCCAAACAAACCTAAGAAGACTCTCAATTTCAGCAAACAACCAAGATAACCCTAACCTTAGACAATCTCATCTATTTAAAGCATACAAATATAACTCCAATTTACTAAACAACTCTCCCCAATTTCAAATCCCTCCTAAACTACCCCACACTCTTTATTTCTTTATTCAAATAGTGGGCCCCACAAGGGGGCGGGCTGCTACCTAGGTGTACCAGGCATAAACAAGGGGGCGGCCCTTGTGTTGGGCCACTGGACTGGTCTAACAATACCCCCTCTCAAAGAATCACCTTGTCCACAAGGTGAAAGGATGAGAACTGATGCTTCACTCTCTCATATGGCTCCCATGTGGCATCGTAGTCTGGTATGTTCCTCCATTTGATCAACACCTCCTTAATCGGCCCTTCTCTGTCTTACCCCTTTTAATTTCGTGGTTTCAACATCACCTCCAATCCTCAGTTAGTGCCACTGGTAACTCTAAACTAGCTGCATGATCCTCAATAGCTCTCCTCAGTTGCGACACATGGAACACCGAATGTATGGTAGTAGTCAAGGGTAACCTCAAGCGATAAGCTAATCCACTCCAATACCTTATACGAGCCAAAGTACCTCGAGGATAACTTCTCATTCCTCATGTTGGCTATTATCCTCTGTTTGTAGGGCCGCAGCTTCAAGAACACCCTATCCCCAACTACGAACAGGATGTCCTTCCTGTGCACATCCGCTTGCTTCATAATTTGTTGAGCATTCATCATGTGCCTTTTTAATTCGTCCAGTACTCTGGCCCTTCCCTCCAAGTACCGCTTTACTGAAGAGACTGGCATGCTACTATGTCCAAATTAGGGGTGTAAATGAGTCGAGTCGAGCTCGAGTCAGGGGGTGTTCGAGCTCGACTCGCAAGTAGAATACCCAGCTCGAACTCAAGCTCGAGCTCAAGTCGAGCTCAAAAATCGAGCTCGAACTCGACTCGCAACACTATATCGAGCTTATCGAGCCGCTCGCGAGCCGCTCGTTTTCGTTCCTAAAGCTCGGCTCGCGAGCCTATAAACGAGTCGAGCTCGAGCCGGCTCGGCTCACTTACACCCCTAGTCCAAATGCACCAAGTGCGGAGAGTCTCTTCCATGCATCGCTTTGAAAGGAATCATCTGGGAAGTCGAGTGGTATGACGTGTTGCACCAGTACCCCGCCCACACTAGCCACGTGGCCCACAACCGAGAAGTCTTTAAGGCAAAACACCGCAAGTAAGTCTCTGGGCACCTGTTTACCACCTTCGTCTGCCTGTTTGTCTGAGGGTGGTAAGTGGTGTTCCTCTTCAGCA